TTCGTGACACTGTTGACTATCGTGAACGAACAGGATTGAAACGGAAAGATTTTCTTAATATTTTAATGGAGTTAAGAAAATCAGAAACTTCAGATCCTTTAACAATGGAAGAAATGACAGCACAAACGTTTTTATTCTTTGTAGCAGGTTCTGAAACAAGTTCAAGTGTAATGGGTTTTTCTTTATACCAATTGGCTTTAAATCCAGATATACAAGAGAAGGCTCGGACGGAAATGAATGAAGTTATGGCTCAGCATGATGGCAAACTTACTTATGAAGCAGTTCAAGACATGAAATATTTACTCCAAGTTATGTATGGTAAGTGGTTAGAAATTATATATGTTTATATATCTATATACATATATTTAATATATTATGTATTTTATTTTTAATTTAAAGAAACTGTTCGTATGTACACAGTAACTCCTTTTCTTTTACGCCAAGCCGTCAGTGACTACAAAGTGCCAAATTCAAATTACGTTATACAAAAGGGTACTACAGTGATTATGCCAATGGATGCTTTACACTATGATCCAGATATATATCCAGATCCTCAACGTTTTGATCCTGAACGATTCTCAACGAAAGAAACTGAAAAACGTCATCCAATGACATTTCTGGGTTTTGGTAAAGGACCACGAGTTTGTATTGGTTACAGATTTGCCCATATGCAAATTATAATTGGCTTATATTTGATGCTTAAGAACTATCGGTTTTCTACGACAAAGGAAACACAGATACCTATGAAATATAAATTGAAAAAACAGTTTCGTGACGCTGAAAAGGGAGTTTATTTGAAAATAGAAAAATTGTGAATGATATGTAAAATTTTAATATCTGTTTGTAAGAAATTATTAGTCAATTTATATAAATCGGGCAGGTTAAATAATTTTAGTGCAAATCGCAATAAATAATAAAAGAATAATTAATCAAAAATATTGACAAATATTACTATCTGACCAGATTAATATAGTCATGTTTGAAGCATTTCTACTCTATATGCATTTTCTTCAATCTCATAAAAATTTTCTTTATATTTACTATTAAAAAAATAATTAAAAATATTGTGAATATATATTTAAATTTGTAATTTTTCATTTAATAATTTAAACTATTTATTAAATTCAAATAAATTCAGAAGCCTTTAATTTAATATTCAGTTTTTCTGCAAATCAAAAAAAAAAAAATTATAATAACGAAATATTTTCCCATAACGAAAGCATGAAATTTCTTATTTAATAACAAATTCAAATAAATAAATAATTTTATTTTTTTCTTAATATCATTTTAATATTTTTTTATTTTTCTATTATTTGTGTCGTTGGTATGGTTAATGTTTGTTGAACTTGGATTTATTTTAAATACTGTTGAACCGAATAACGTAGTTCCGTTGCCAGTTGCATTGGACGGACACATTGAATGAATCTACACCTCAAGTCACGCTTGTTTTTGGCCGGTTTTTAGAGTTGATAACAAATAAAATTTGTATCTTTTCAGCTACTTGAATTATTATTCGTTTATAGCTAGACATTTCTTCTTTGACTGACAAGAGCATTTGCATCCATTGCACTGAACCATTCATTCGAGTACAATAATGACACAATGAAATTCATTTTTTTTTCTTTTTAATTTTTTTTTTTTTGTGTTTCGGTAATGCAACAATTTAAATATTAAAAAATTTCACTCAATTTTATTTTATCTGTTTGAACACTTTATCGGTTGTTATCTGTCGATATTTATCAATTTTACGTTTCGATCTTTAATTTCAAAAAAATAAACATTTCAAATTTAAGTGGGTTTGAAGTGGGCAATAATTGCTCTAAACGACAAATTGTTTTATAAATTTTAAAAAAATAAATAAATAATATTCATACATAACTTTTATTAGATAAAACACGTATGTGTAGCTTTCTGTAAAACAGCAACATTTCAAAACACTACGTTGCGATGAAGATTAAAGGTCCATTGTACCTAGTTCAGAAAGACAAATATACATAAATATATAAATATGGAAACGGTTACACAAAAGAAAAAATATAACTATTTGTTAAGATTAACTCAGCCACATTTTTAATATTATTATTAGATTTAAGGCTTCTGCACTGCGTCCTAGAGATCTGCCCTCTTAATGGATTCTGAATATTTTTCTGACTTTGGTTTCCCCAATATATTGTAGTATATTATTATTGTAGATCTGCCCTCTTAATGGATTCTGAATATTTGTCTGACTTCGGTTTCCCCAATATATTGTAGTATTAAACATACTTTACCGAGTTCATGTTCCGATAAAAAATGCACAGGTTTTGATTAATTCTTTCGTTTATAGCGCAGCAATAACTGCCGGTTCAATTCTCTTTCCTAAAAACCTATAATTGTTTTGTTTTCAGTTTAAGTTGGATTTACTAAAATTGTTTTTATTTAGTCGCGTACAATCCTGAAATCCTATAATTAAAAAGCCTTAGTAGATTGTTCGATTACAACATTCTCTATTTTCCCTCATCTTTCTGAATGACTAAGAAGAAATTGCCTTTTCTTAAGCCACACAATTATTTGGGACACCCAAGTGGTGAAGAAGTATCAAAACTGAAATCGCTAAAATTAAGTCTTAAATACTAAATTCCGATTTAATTGAGTTGGATGCAGTTAGCACACTGCTTTCTCTGGATACATCTTATAGATCTACACTTGGGAAGCCTCGTAAGCTACATCACTTTTAGTGATGTATACTATTTTTGTTAAAGGTATCAGAAAATGAATATAAGCAAATCTTCCCGTTGAATGAATTCTTCTAAGCGGAGTTAAGAAGCCTTGGAATAACTATGTTTTTTTGCTGAACAGTTTGAGTGCCCTAACCTTCATGTAATTGTTGTTGGTTTCAATAGAAGAATCTCTATGAATACAAAATAAAATTTTCTTTAGGGTAATGTTTTAAAATGTTTGCAATGCCTCAGTAGAGGATTAAGGTGCCTTACTAAAAATGACCTAGATAGGGTTAAGTAAGAGTGGCAGTTTTGTTCCCAAATCCATGTTGAGCTCAAATAATAGCCCGTAGTGATAACATAGTAAAAACGACCTAACTGTACAGCAAAGATGGCCTTATGACTTCTTTATATATGACCATTATATTTTTTCGGTTTAGTATTTTTCTTTTTGAGATGAAATTGGCACTTATTACTTTTATATTTATTTATGAAAAGATAGCAAATATTAATGCCTCTCTTATTTACCTGAAATGTCTACCTATATTCATATCTACCTTAAATAATAATGCTTAGAAAAGTATACCTTTTACAATGTTCAAATTTTTTTTATTTAGTATTTTGTAGCTGTTGATGAATTCATTGAAACCAATGTAGATCCTCGTCGTAACATTTTCAAAAGTGTGCATTTTCAGAAACATTGCCAGTAGTAATTTTTCTTTCACTAAACTATACTAACATTAATAAAGAATTTTGATTTCAAGGTTAAATAGTGTCCTCATTCATTTTATATTTCCAAAATAAACACAGACAGGTAGCCTAAAACTAAAGTAATTATAGTCTATTCTTAGTTCAAATGTGTTGAATATGTTTTCAACAAAGATATTAAAAATAAGGGTACGAATATATTATACACAATATACAAGTAGATATGAGATGTACCATAAACAAAAATTAATACATATATCCGAATGTATGTATAATATGTAGTTACTGATAAGACAAACAGTTGTGTAACATATATGTTTAATTAAATAATTTTAAGTTGCTTAAATTGGACACATTTCTATAGATAGATTATAATTTATTAGTGATTTCTTCTTTAAACAATTGTCCATATTACAGATTAATTTAATTTAAACAGAAATACATTTTTCGACAAATTTTACACACGCTTCAACTTCATATAAATATATATATATATAGACTGATTTCAATACTCTATGACATCTGAAAAAAGAAAATTAAATAAGAGTCCGTTTTATTCTTAAAGCCGTAAAGGTGAAATTTTTCTGTTAACTTAACATACAAGCATGATTAATGAGTATCATCCTAATAATCATATCTCGACTTAATACCGCTTATGGTTCGAAGGTCTATGTGTGAGATCTTGATGCCTATCAATTTAATCTAATTATCTATCTACTTAAAAATATATTTATTTAACTTTTAGTAGTATTAATAAAGGCAGAATTAATTTTAACAATATAATAATAACAATATAAACTGTTAAAATGCACACTGTTAAGTTGTCAACTGTTAAATGCTAACTGTTAAAATGTACACTTTAATGTTAAACTAAAAGCTGTTAAACTATTGCGCTGTAAACAATAAAGCGATTAAACAACAGTTAAACTGTAAAAGATTAACTGTAAAAGAATTTAAGCAAAAAAAAATCATATCGAAAATAAAATAAACAATTAATAATAACATTATAAGCTGTTAAGTTTACACAGTTTAAATGTTAAGTTTTAAAATGTACACTTTAAAAATGTTTAACTGAAGACTGTTAAACTATTGCGCTGTAAACTATTAAGCAACTGTTAAGCTATAAAAAATTAGTACCAATAATGCAATTTTATTTTGATTTAAAATTTTAAACAAAAAGAAAACAAAAATCCTTGCTAAACAAATTTCATTACAAAATTGCATAGAAACTGTTATGCACGATTGTAAATTAATGAATTTCATTGCTTTTTTAATAAAATCAGTCATACCGTCAAAAATGTATTAAACCGTCTCTACACTATGCGATTTACTATTACAAATTTTCAATCGTACTAAATCTTATTTATTGACGTTGTAAATGCCTGCAATTGTTGTTGTTAATTTACTGAGAAATATATTTTACGTTGTGATTTGCTAGATTTGACATAGGTTTGATTAGAAAAGCTCACTGAAACCGTTTATATAACCAATTGCATGGGTTAATCATTAAATTTTGACACTTGTTTTAGAGTCCATTGTACTGTGTACTGCTCTGAAAAATAAAATTATTATAAATTTATAAGTAAAAAAAAAAATTCCAGCATCATTAAAAGATCTGCGTAAGATCTGCAACGTCAAGTTATGACAGTCAGCAAGATAGTATCGTAACATTTGGAAATACTGAAGTGGATGAAATAATAAATTTTAATAATTATTTTTAATTTTTTTAATAAATAATTCAAAATAAAATAATATTTGTTATCGATTTTCCAACTGATCACATTTTTATTTGTTTTTGTTTACTAAAATTATATATAAGTAAAAATAGTACCTAACCTTTTTTAATTTGAATTTCATTAACATATAACATATATAAATTTATAGTTAGTATTTATGTTTTATAGAATAATTGATCAATTTTTCAATTCAATTATTCTACAGCTGGTTTATGATTTCGTTCTAATATAAACACAGCAAGTGAATTTGTTAATAAAACTTTTATAGCAAAGTACCAAAACTCCAAAAAATTTGTGAACATAAAAGTCAAGTACGGCTTTGGGTCAGTTGGTTACGGAGCGCTGACTCTGAGCTTCAAATTTGGCTGGGCACAAATTCGATTCCTGGTATTTGCAGTCTCAAAAAATTATTTACGAATAATTAAATATAAGAATTATTTCTAAGACCACTGATGTTGAGTATTAGCCAATATACAGCTGTATAGTCAGCCAAAAATTCAATTAATTAAAATAATATAAAATGAATTTTTGTTGTTGTAGTTCACTACTGTTCTAAAAACCTCTTTATGTTAATATTTATGCTTTTCTATTTCAACTATAATATTTTATAATAAATATTTTTGAAATACCAAAAATAGAGTTGAACTTTGAAGTAAGAACGCGCTTAAACCCTAAATGGAAATATACAAAGATTAAAGAATATACAAAACTCAAAATCTTATAATAGTTTTAGTTCATACCAATTCAAATGTTCTTAGAACTATTTTATTTCATTAGTGGACCGGTATATTATTATCTAAGATACCCCCTACCCCTCTCTTTATTTCTATCGATATCTATTATTTCAAATTTTAACAAAACTTCAGTATACATTATATTATATATATGACAATTAAAAACAATTTTAAACATAAATATTAGATATGTATTTTTAAATTTTCAAATATTTATTGTTATATAAAAAGTACCTAATATTTCTTATTAAAACAAGTATGTCTTTTATTTATACAGAAGCATACATAGTCTAAATAACATAATCGTATGTGTAAAATTTATTAAGTAACTTTAAATAATTTTTAAATAAAATATTTTGATTTTGTTGTTTTTAATGACTAAATAGTTAAACAAAATAATTAACCTTTAAAGTTTTTAGTACAATTTTTATGACTTCGCAAGGTTTTTTTAAATTAATATTTGCTTAAATAGAAAAAATATAATATTTTCGAAAATAAATTTTTGTAAAAAATTTAATAATTTTATGTCATATTATCGCATATTATTAAACATATAAATTTTTTAATTTCAATGCCAAAATCTATAATATTATTAATGTTTCTTCTACTATTGGAAGGTGTTGATTTTAATGATTCAGATTTAATAATTATTTACTTACTACGTGTGATCATTAATTAAACTTATACAAAAAAGGTAAATAGATTTATTTTAATTAAGGTTTTATTTATGTCACTTTTTTTAAATATATTTAACAAAGCTTGGTATTGTCCCATTACAACTTTAAGTCTTATTCTCATATAACAAAAAAAGAATAATTATACCATCGAATAAGTAATAAGAACCCTTTATATATAATGAAAACTACAATAACATAATAAAGTTTATACAGCAAGGAACTCATGAAAAAAATGTATATTATTTATATGAAACAAAGCAAGATATATATAACTTCTTAAAATATCACTAACTAAAATATTACTTATCCACTCTAAAGGTACACGCATTCCCACACCTAATATATTGAACAAAACAAAGTCATCCAAAGTGCTCACAACAGAGATCAGCACAATAGCATTAATAGTTTGAGTAAGATGACCATAAACTATGCATAGAGCTATTGGGCCCTAGCAAACCCAGATATAATAAAACTTCAATGTAGATTTTGTAATACAAACATTTTAAGCATGCTTGAAACTCTATTACTGGAATAGACCTGCTAGATCTTAACAGTTCCTTTCAAAGTGTGTTTACAGATCAGAAAACGACTAAGGGTTTTAAGTCCAAACCCCATACACCGTAGTTCTAATATATAAGTATCATGCCATCAGGGAAGTCGAATATAATGATAATCTCATATTTAAGTAAAAGTAAATTCTAAGTACACGAACTTTATAATAATTATAATATATAATAACATATAATATATATATATATATATATATATAACAATAATACCAAAAGAAGCTATAACTTCATCACTAAAATTAATTCACTTAATATCATAACCGCAACATTTATAATATCATATATTGATGCAAATAAATCATAAAAAAATTAATTATCTTAAACAATAATAAAAATTTTGCAAAAATTATGTTAACCAAAATAAAAAATTATATCATTCTCATGTAAAAAAAGCCTTTATATGGTAATATTTTTTTAACAAAAATTGATTAACATTTAAATGTTAATAAATTTCTTTTCTCATGTTCAACAAAAAAGATTTAATGAACAAAACCGAATAAAGCAGAAAAAAACACAAATAATGCCCAAATATTTACTTTCACTTTTGATATTATTGATACAATAACTTAAATTGAAACAATATTAATTTGTTTAGGTAAAAAATTATTTATAATTATTATACATAATATTTATATTTAATTATGATTGCATGACTTTATTTTAATTCAAATTCTGAACAGAATTGGTGAGTTGGTGGAAAATTAATTATTTCACCACTGCATAGAACATACAACGACATATTATTGTTTAAATAATATTTTTTAAAAAACATTTTTACACAAAAATATCATTTCTATCATGTAACTACAATATTAGTTAATAAAGTTTATGTATTACAATCTTATCGAATATGTGTTTAATAAAAACGTAGCAATTGAAATGATTTTTAAAATTTATAAATTTACAAAATACATAAACGTTAGCGACCTTCAAGTGCACAATGAAAAGATATTTGTTAATCATTGCTCACAGTTGAAAAGTTCAAATAAAATGTTTAAATTAAGTTTAAAATAAAAAATTTTCTGCAAATAATAAAATCTAAATTTGATTTATACAATAATATTTGCTTGAGTTCAATTTACAATGTTACAACAATTTAATTCATTAAAATTTTTTATTGCTTCATATCTCTTAAATCTTCTCAAGATTTTGCCATATTTTGTAATCTGAGTCAAATTCGATGAGTTTGCAATTTGCACAATTTTATTTAGTAAAAGTGTAATACTTTCAAAGTAAATAATTTATTTTTTATGGGCAAAGCATAAAAAATTAAGTTATAATGTTAC